TTTAGCTTTTTACCTAATCATTAAATTATCCTTGTTATATTTTTTTAAATGGAAAATTGTGCTGCCATCAAATATTTTTTGAAGGATATGACTCCAAAGAACTTGAATAATATTTTAGTTCAATCTGCGCTATCATTTTCGATGATTAAAAGTGTACAGCTTATTTTATACATGGCAGAGATAACTTAGAAAACGATTCTCGAAGAAGATTACGGTTAGCAGCAACAAAATCCATGATGTAATGTTGCAAGATTCAACGAATTAAAAGTGAGTAAGATTAGACAAAAATATTGCATAAAATGAGCCCATAATGGCCGAGTAGATAAAACCACTGAACACACTGGTTGTGGTTTGTGCCTCGCCAACAGGCTGGCAACGTAGAGTTTTCCGGATTTTCTTCACGTTAGTAATACCTGTAGGAGCCAATTTCCCATAAAAAGGTTCTCCTGGGAAATAATCTCCGGTTTCCGTATACAAATAAATTAAACCAAACTATTGTATAAAATAATAATAATAAACATTCGCTAGAAAAAACCAAGTATGGACAAGAAAAAGATGCTGTTTTATCAAGACAATTTCCCAACTCACACAGCGGCAATTATGAAGTTCGTAAAATTCGGTCATCACAAGGGAGTCAAATTTTATGAACTTCGTTTCAAACTGTTGTCATATGTCCCTAATTCGCTTGATATGGCTCTGAGAAATTCTTTCTTTTCCTGAAACTCAAAAATTTCTTTGCAACAGAAAAAAATTTTTACAGCTATCAACGAATTAGTTTATAAGGAAGATATAACATCACTGCAGCATCATTAGAGCAAATTCCTACTCTGAGAAGAAATATTAGAAAATGAAATTTGTTCTTTGTTTTTATGTTAAACCACAAACTTTTCAAATTCTTCACATAAGAATTTGTCAAGATATTCATTATCATTCTTAAAATTCAAATAATACAATGTCTCTACGTTGGACAAATCAATTTTAATCAGTACAGTAGAAAAAAAATACAAACTATTCAATAAAAATATCAAAATGAAACTAATTGATTTGAATTAGTTATAAAAAAAGATCGATATGTAACATGTCAGTTTATTAAAAATAAATATAAGCATGCTTAAAAATATTTCTTAAACTACATAAAATTTTTATACTTCTTATTAAAAATACTGCTTTCTTTTACTCGTTTTTGATATTTAAAACTCTTTTATCATTAATTTTTCATATAAATTTAGAATTAAATTATCTTTAAACATTTATACAATAATCTATAAAATAGTTATTTATGTTAAATATTAATATAAAACTGAATAATTGAGATTAAAAGTCAATTTATATCATGATGGAATATTTATAAACATTTTACCATCTATACAATATATTCCATATTTAAAATTTTATATTTTTAAAGATATTTAATATCGATAGCATCTTAAAAATGAAGCTAATTTTATTATTGTCATTATTTTAAAAAGAAGTATATTATAAATTATCAACATAAATTTATCATTTATTTGCCTTTCTGAAAGCGTTATATTCTTCACAGATTTTCTCAAAATAATTTTTATCCTCTAGAAACTTTTTCATATCATTTCTCAAATCCATTTCTTTTATTTCTTATAAAAGAAAAATGCATATATAGTAAATAGATTTGTATCTGTCAACAAAATTATTGGCAAGTTTTCATAAAATAATGGATGACGAAAATCCTTACACCTTAAAGTGAATAAAAGTGGGAGCAAATCAATACTTGATGGTGATTGAAGAGAATCATTTCAAAGCAGTATATAAAAAATATTAAGCTTAAAGAAAAAGTTTGAAGAAAAGTTTTTGAAATTTAAACTTTCTAAATATTTATGAAAGTCGTAAAAAGTTTAATTGCTACAAGAAAAATAAAATTTAAGAATAAATGTTGAATATTAAACTTTATATACAACAACTTTATATAAACAAGTAAATTATAATAATTGTTATAGTGATTTTTAATTTATATATATATAGCCTATATATTGCTAAGTTTGATATAATTAGATCATAATCATAAATTACAGTTTTAGCATAATAAGTGTAAGTGTACGAATGAATAAGTATAAAAAAGTACGACACTAAAATGCTAAGCATCTCGGTTCAATCCATAAGAGATCGATTTTTTCAGCAAATGCTCTCTTCGGTCTCTTAGAAAGGAGATCGTACAAATAAAATGGTACCTCTGTGAATATAGACAATGTGAGTGCAAACAGTAAGATTTTGGAACACTTTTGGATAAAGTGAGAAATGAGTTTAACTTTTGTCGAATCAATCTAAGACAGCTATTTTCCGGTAAAAACAATTTTAATTCAGATGGAGATGATTAAGCAACGAAGTGGAACCACTAGAGTTGTCAAAAAAAATTTTTGGATCTCACTAAATATAGATTTAGTGAGATCCAAAAACACCTTTTGATAACGTAAAATATAGATCCCCAAATTCTATAATGTACGTCAATTTTCGATGAAACGGGTTTGTTCCCTTATACAAGAAATCGCTTAATTCCTTCTAGAAACATTTAAGAAGCAAATATAGACAAAAACCAAACAGCAAACGAGTAAATAGTAAATAGATAATTTTAAAACGATATCTGATATTTGGATTAAATTTTTCTGTAAAATTTGAACCGATCTTACTAAAATAGAATGCTAATTGTAAATCTTGCAAATGTTTCATCCTTTTCAATTTTCCCGAACACACGTACAGTATGTAGAACAAGTTTAAGTGAATCTAAATTTGTTCCATCGAGTTTTGTTCTGCTGTAAGCGTTTATGCCTAAAGAAACTTAAATTACGTAAAAAATGTTTGTATGATGAATAGTTGAAATTTGCATTTTAGTAACATCGATAAAATGGTTTTGTTTTTATAAAAATGTGTCACACTAAATGCTCGCCATTTAGTGTGTCTCTAATTTAATTTCATTACAATAGATATATAAAATAATCTAAATATATAAAATTACATGTCCTGACTGCAGAGCCGGCCCGTTCATACAGGCGAACTAGGCGATAACCTAGAATGCTTGAATTCAGGGGGCGGCATGGCGAAAGTACATGCATAAATTACAATAAATAATGAAAGAAAAAATGTTTTTTTATCACAGCCCTCTCTCACGTGTTGACCCGCGAGTCGCCATTTTGAAAGTAGCGCCGTAGTCTCACGATCGCGATATTGAATGCTGCATATTGAATAAAAATCGAAGAGATATCGAAGACTGCTGTGAAAAATTCCAAACCAAATACAGTACTCCAAAACATACACGTTGACTCCTTTACCGCCTTGTCCGGGTACCTAAGATAGTACAGCTGACATATTCCGTTTTATATAAAAATTAGCCGCTTGTCACATAGAAGTGTTCCTGCTTTCTCTATTCTAAGTAAAATATAGGAAAAAGTATTGTGTCAAGTAATATATTCATTTTGTTCCGTAGCAAATGGGGACGAACAGAGATAGACGATGTATCAATTTGAATAGATGTTATCGGTGTTTTGTCTTTGAATTAGCTACATTCTAAAAATGTTTCGTTTAATTTTTATTGCAGAATTTATAAAATCTGAGATAGTCTTGTTGATATTTATCATTTTAAACCGTTACTTACTTTTAAAAATGCTATCAAACATGCCAGAAGTATAATAAGGTAAATCCAAAACACAGCAAGAACTTGCCGAATCGACAAGTGTTTTTGCTGCATGATTGTTTTCTAAATGTCGAAACGTGTGTTTATGTCATATTATAAAGATTTAACATGAATGTCCAAATTATTTAGTTTTGAACCTTTTTATTGTAAATACAGTAAAATAAATGAAACATTATATAGCCTAATCTAACTATATCAGATATGTTTAGTCTGTCCTCACCGCCTGAATACACGGACAGCCGGATGGCCGAACGGTTAAGGTTGCAGCCTACCGCTCTAGGGGACCCGGGTTTGAATCCAGACGGGTCGATAAATCCTTAGAAATTTTTGGGGTATTGTTCGTCCGAATATGTCGGGTCCAGTCCTTCACTACCCGACTGCCCCATTGTGGGCCTGGTCGAACCCATAATGGGCTTGCTAATAGAGGCCCTCTTAGTGCCCACAGGAAGGACAGTTTTTAAAATAAAAATAAATAAATAACCCGAACGCATGATACGTATGATTAAAAAGTTTTCGTAGTGTCTACAAAGCAAAAACAGTAAAATAAAATAAAAATATGGAAAAAAGAAAAAATAATTCAGAACACGGCCTTTAATCTTGTTGGATCGCGAGCATCTTAAAATTTAAAATCACTTTATTTTTAGAAAATTTATAAGAAAAAATAATTTTACTCTTACATATATTACAACAACTCAATTTTGTCAATTTGGATACTGTCAATTGTAAGTCACAGGAATACTTTCCTACCGACATTTCCTCATTTCTGATTTCCGGTACGTGACACATGAATATGCCAAGCACCTTTTTATTTTATACTCTTTCCGCCCTGTGGGCACTAGGAGGGCCTCTTTTTGCAACCCCATTATGGGTTCGGCCAGGCCCACAATGGGGCTGCCGGGTGGTGAGGGACGGGGTCCGACATATCCGAACGGACCACCCCCCCCGAGAAATTCCTGGGGATTTTTCGACCCGTTCGGTTTCGAACCCGGGTCCCCCAGGACGGTAGGCTGCCACCTTGACCGCTCGGCCATCCGGCCGCTAAAGTATGCCAAGTATCAATACTTTCAAGATCATATTCCCATTAACGATGTTTTTGTGGTATACAGTATATATTATTATCCTGAACAATATTTGAAGTTCGAAATAGTGTTTTAACTATGACATTCTTTGAAATAATTATTATTTGTTTAACAATTTTTTTTACATATGCTTTTAATTTAATTTGATTACACGACTATCGATGTTAATTAACGACATATGAAATAATTGACGTTAAAATATTTACTTCGATGTGTCCTTAAAAATTTCGACACTTAAAAACAAATACATTTTTTACCGCTAGGGGTATTTCGTAGGATTGCGTTCATTGTACGATGCTTCTTTTTGTTGTATGTTAATTTTGTATAAGGAGAGAAAATATATATTGATGATAGTTGTCGAAATTAAATGATAGAAAAAGTGGCGACTGCACTATTATCTTTATTATTGCTGGAAGAATTAGATGAGGAATCTGAAGCGAGCGAAGAAGAAATGGAATCTGAAGAAGAAACGAACGAAGTCGAAAATCCCACTCCAATAGTTAATAACGCATCAAATAACGATTCGAATAATTCTTCTAGGGTCAATTCAGGTAAATATAAATTTGTTTTAAAATATGAATTTGTAAGACTTAAACTAAAGCTATAAGAGAGGTGAGAAGATAAGCTAACAAGTTAATATAACCTGTAATTTTTTATGATAAAAGGATTCAATTCAAGTGTTGAATGATACGTTTGTGACCAAAATAGAGCTGTAGAACATACTCATAGGAACAAAAATAAGTCAAAAGAACCATACCTGTATATGTGACTTTTTATGAGAGATTCACTTCCACGGGTCCGTTTTTACTGTGAAACGGTACTCTTGCCTATTCTCCATGCTCCAATGCTCCATATGGGATGAACCCCACAACCCCACAACCACCTAAAACTATATAACATCAAATACTCCAAAACATTCAAGTCAAGTGGGTTACTCAAAGTATGCATAATAGCACAAATGCTATTATGACTATACTTTGTGATAGTCTTAGCAAAGCGTGGAGCACAACTGATTTTGGAGAGATGGTTTCTTTGACTTTTTTCCTATGTATATGGTCTATGGCTCTGGTAAAGTCCCAATTGTCTCATTCAGAGTTGTAATTGTATCTTCTGTTTTGTGTAAGAATGATATTTATGCAATGTTGAGAGTACTTGTGCACCTATTTTTGTTTAAATTAAACTAAAGTAATACTGAAAGACAGTGTTTTTTATTACTACTATAAACTTGGTGTTGAATGTGATAACCATTTTCTGAGAAGAGTACTATTATAACAGTGTGTGTGTTCATATGGTATTTCCACAGACTAACACAGACATGTCAAATGAGGCTAAAAATTGTAGCAGAAGTCTTGAACAGAAAATGTACTCAGCAAATTAATAATCAAAATAATCAACACCTAATCCGTTGCCGAGGGAGTTTATTTAAAATACGAACATTTTCTACTCCATAGATCATCTTCAAGTTGAAAAAAGAATATGGAATAACCATAAAGAATAGAACATTAAATTCAAATTCAAAAAATATTGACAACTGAGTAAATAAGTAAGATAATTAAAGTGTAAAAAATACCAAGTGTAAAAATAAATAACACAACAAGCCGTTAACAGTTGACAAAAACTATAAATGCTCTCATGACATGAATTGTGAATCAAGTCGTCATTCATAAGCTATTTGTAATTCTTTTAATAGCAAATTTCCATGCTGAGGGTAGGCCCTCTTCATCTCTAGCGTTTATACATCTATCATTAAGTTTGCTTCTGTATATTTCCATTTTTTCGGCAGTCTTCACTAAAGTTGGGGAGTGTATTTGCCTAATGATTTCAGCCTCTTCCCATCCAACTATGAAACCTTGGGCTTGAGCCATCTGGGCCAAGCCCAAGGTTCAGCATAATTGGGCCAGCATAATTGCGTTTGATTTTTTCCTAACATCATATTTATGCTCTCTGACCCTTACCCCCAATTTCCTCGTTGTAACTCCTATGTACTCCTTTTTTAATCCTAACTGTTGGTTATCATACGGGATCTTATAAATTCCTGCTTTATCCTCTTTCTTAATATCCCCTTTATTGTTTCTTAGAATCTTGAATAAATTTGGGTCTCGTTTTAAAATCACTGTTGATTTTTTTATGTCTGCAATCTCCTCCATAATGCTTCTTACATTTTTGTTGTACGTGAACTTTAGAACTAAGAAGCGTACATATTTATGTTGAAAGCGCTTGCAAGATTAAAATATTTCTTTTAATTCTATTTAATGCCTCATAGTCTGAAGTTCTTGATGTTTTTGATTGAGCACAAGTGCAATAATTTTTGGTCCTGAAGATACTCAGAACCAAACATTTCACAGAAAACATACTCGGCAAATTAATAATCAAAATAATCAACACCTAATCTGTTGCTGAGGGAGTTTTATTTAAAAAACGAACATTTTTGATCTACTTCATAGATCATCTTCAAGTTGAAAAAACGAATATGGAATAACCACAAAGAATAGAACATTAAGTTTAAAATTCAAAAATATCAACAACTGAGTAAATAAGTAAGATAATTAAAGTGTAAAAAATACCGGTTGTCTTTGGGCAATTCAATAGTCTGAAGTTTTTGATGTTTTTGATTGAGTTAACTGTTGGTGTGACGTCCAAGCCGAGTATTTATTGCACTTGTGCTATTTAGAAAATACACAATTGCAGATAACACCGTTACATTGTTTTCAATATTTTAAAAATTTTAGAAGATATATCATTGCACAAGTGAACATTCCAATATAGAACATTAGCATCTTTCGACAGACTTGAAGCATGCTTATTAAAGAAACCAAAAACATTGTCAGAAAAAAATGAGAGTAGAAATTGTACTCAAAGGTGTTATTTATTTGTTTGTTTGTTTTTAAGTGTTTAAACATTTTTTTCAGCTTAGATTCTATTAAAGAAATTTTGCATTTTTTGGATATCAAAAAGTCCATTAATTATTATCCATGGTAAAAATAGTCACTTGTGGAATTGACCATGACTTCACTTTTATTCTGTTGATTAACCTAAAATATAAAATTTTAGAAACAAAATGAAATAACTTGACTGTATGAGCTTTAACTTTATTTCCTTTAATGGGGCACTTCTACATTATTTATTGTTATTTTGTTACTAACTGATCAGCACATTACATGAAGTTTATCATTGTACAGTACAGTATATGTTATTCTATCACACAGGTTCTGAAACTTATTTCAACTACTGCCCACTTTGAGATAAAAAAAAGTTTAGTGTCCCCATATTTATTAACTTGCCTTTTTACATTACCATCTGTTGCATATCTTAAAAACAGTTATTGTAAATATAATGTTTAAACATGCATTATTATATGGATAGGATAGATAGGATGTGACCCATATCCTATTTCTGAGATCAAAGAATGTTTCAATGAGAAGAAATAAAACTCATATTTAATCACTGAGCCTTCTACTGCCCCCCTGAAAGACTCTAGTGCCCACAAGGGGGAATTATTGCCCACTTTGTGAAAGGATGTTCTATCATAACATCACCTGCCTAAAGAACTCCTTTTAAAAGTTTTTATGTTAATTTATGTTTAGTGTTAGGTGGTGAATTATACATTAAGTCTATTTCATTATTCATATGATTTAAATTTTCCAAACTATATAGTAGTAATTATAAATTAATTTTAAATTATTGTTTTATTTTGTGTGCTAGTATGCAATAATTTTTGGGAAAATGTTTGGTTCGAGTATCTTCAGGACCAAAAATTATTGCACTTGTGCTATTTAGAAAATACACAATTGCAGATAACACCGTTACATTGTTTTCAATATTTTAAAAATTTTAGAAGATATATCATTGCACAAGTGAACATTCCAATATAGAACATTAGCATCTTTCGACAGACTTGAAGCATGCTTATTAAAGAAACCAAAAACATTGTCAGAAAAAAATGAGAGTAGAAATTGTACTCAAAGGTGTTATTTATTTGTTTGTTTGTTTTTAAGTGTTTAAACATTTTTTTCAGCTTAGATTCTATTAAAGAAATTTTGCATTTTTTGGATATCAAAAAGTCCATTAATTATTATCCATGGTAAAAATAGTCACTTGTGGAATTGACCATGACTTCACTTTTATTCTGTTGATTAACCTAAAATATAAAATTTTAGAAACAAAATGAAATAACTTGACTGTATGAGCTTTAACTTTATTTCCTTTAATGGGGCACTTCTACATTATTTATTGTTATTTTGTTACTAATTGATCAGCACATTACATGAAGTTTATCATTGTACAGTACAGTATATGTTATTCTATCACACAGGTTCTGAAACTTATTTCAACTACTGCCCACTTTGAGATAAAAAAAAGTTTAGTGTCCCCATATTTATTAACTTGCCTTTTTACATTACCATCTGTTGCATATCTTAAAAACAGTTATTGTAAATATAATGTTTAAACATGCATTATTATATGGATAGGATAGATAGGATGTGACCCATATCCTATTTCTGAGATCAAAGAATGTTTCAATGAGAAGAAATAAAACTCATATTTAATCACTGAGCCTTCTACTGCCCCCCTGAAAGACTCTAGTGCCCACAAGGGTGAATTATTGCCCACTTTGTGAAAGGATGTTCTATCATAACATCACCTGCCTAAAGAACTCCTTTTAAAAGTTTTTATGTTAATTTATGTTTAGTGTTAGGTGGTGAATTATACATTAAGTCTATTTCATTATTCATATGATTTAAATTTTCCAAACTATATAGTAGTAATTATAAATTAATTTTAAATTATTGTTTTATTTTGTGTGCTAGTATGCAATAATTTTTGGGAAAATGTTTGGTTCGAGTATCTTCAGGACCAAAAATTATTGCACTTGTGCTATTTATTTGATGATCTAATTACATTTTTAAGGTTTGATAGATAATAGATGATAAATAATTCTATGAATTGATAAAAGTGCAACATATATGTATATTTATTTTCATGTAATTTTAATTCTTAAAAGTGAATGCTGAAGAGAATGCATCTGTTATTTTTTCCTCACAAGTATTAATATTTCAAAACAATGAAAACACGCATATGCAATATTCTTATACCCCGTTCGCACCGAGCATTTCGATCTAGATTGTTACTAAGGTCGGAGCCTGTTCCATGGTGCGAAGGCTCTCGACCGTTTCAATCTCGGCTGAAACGAGGTTCAATCGCGATCAACTGGAGAGAGTTCTTGAAACTAGATCCAGTCATAAGAGAGATCCCACAATCCCACGCACGTGAGAAAATACAGGATGGCTGCGGAACATGTGTCGGGCTATCGACAGAGAAATAAAAAAGACATCTGGAGAGATGACGACATCTGTCTATTATTAGATGTATGGCAAGAAAAAGTATTTATTTCTAACCAAAACTTCCATTTTGTTTGTTGGTGTTTGTGACTTACCGCATAGTTACGTCAGTTTTATGATCGCGTGTAATAGCCAGGTTCTTCTCGAGCGGACTGCCTGTGCGAACAGCACGACATTCGACTAGCGACAATCACAATCCAGATTGTAAGTAAATCGAGATCGAAGTGAATCGTGGATTGTGTGCGAACGTAGTATTAGAGTAGAAAAAATGGCAGTCTTGTTTCTTTAAAAAGTAAAATATCATATTTATTCTAATATACAATATAACTTTTTCATCTTGTAGCTTAGAACATGTGCTGTTTATTAGAATAAATACAATATATTCATTTGAGAAAGAAAAGTGAAAATTGCAAAAAAATTTAAGAATATTTTCAACATTGTAGATAAATATTAAATTAATGTTTATACAAATTTCTTAGAGAATAGCTCGGTTCTTACAATTGTTATTTGTTAAATTGTAACAAGTATAATAAACTTAACACAAGAATACTAATTCAGTAAAGAAATCAAATTCAATCTTTTAAAGTAAATAAACTTACTAGCAACTTAGATCAAAAAGTTCAGAAAAAATTCTTTATTTGTTTTAAATGTTTTTCAGAACCATTATGCTTCACATTCAGACCAGTGATATAATTTGCTACTGGGTTATTTGCTTTACAATATTAAATGGACCTGTGTTCTAATGTAATCAGTGAATTAGTATTTTCATGGTTTTGTCATTTAATTTTAATTGAACACGTTAATGAAGTTTAGATAAAACTACTTTTTTAATACATAAATTTCTGTGCAATATGCAGTATACACACACACACATATACACATTTATAAATTAGTAAATTAATATTTGTGTTTTGCATTTTTAAAGCAGTTTAGATAATCTTGTGATCTAGCATCTTGCTGTATGCTAGCTATACCATATAAAAGTTATGTTCAAAAAGTGTACTTAGAATTAAAATTCAACAATTATGCTATTTGTTCAGGATTAAATTTTCTGATCAATTATTTAACATTTTCAATAACAGAAAGCCTTGAAAATATTAAATTGAATTAGAACTTGAATTGAACTTCTTCACTGAATTCTATTTTTGTGTCAAATTCTTTATAACCAAGAAGTCACAAATATGGATTTATTTCAACTTAGGTAATAATTAATATTATTTATATGTTTTAAAAATATAAATATTTTTATACATATAACCATCATTATTAATTAAGATGGGTAAATTAATTTTTATGATAATTTTCATAATGTATTAATTTTCTCATGATTTTCAGATAAAATTTATGTTAGAATCTTGCCAAAGCCTTCTAATGAAACAGGAAATAAAACTGATAATATAAAATTAATTTCTCCTCCTGAAATCATTCATCCTATTCCTGTAAGTCAAATAAAACAAGAAGTAGAAGAAGTGATTCTTCCAAGTAATGTAAGAACATTTTTTAAATTTATTATACTGTTAAAATTATCAATATAATGTGTGAATATATAATAGAGAGGTTGAGGTGCAAGTTCAAACATTACTTCTACATGGCAAGCAGGAGTACACTGTTTACGTTTTAACTCCAAGAAAAAATCGTTGCAGCGCACGTTCACAATATCATGACTCAGTGAACGTTGCACATTGACTCACGGGAAATTTGTTGAAAAATTGGCGGATACATTTAACATTGAGGGTCACCAGCGAAAGTAAATAAACAAATTAAACTATTTTAAAGTATTTATAGGATGTTTAATAACACTAAATAATTATTTTTAATTAGCGTGGTGTCTCCTACTGTGTGATCGGACGATAGGACTACCTCATACTTTTGTCAAGGGAAGTAGTGGCTTATATAAATTTGGAAAATTATTTTTAGAAATTTACAAATGTATTACGCTGTTGATGGTAGAAGATGCCATGGAAGAACAAACCTACCTTAAGATAAGCTGTTATGAAGGCAAATATATGTAAATTCTATAAGCACTTTGCATCACTTGCTAAAAAATTGAATAATTAAAAAATTTTTGGATTAAAATCATCTGTTTCTTTACAATATTATTTGTAAATGCTTAAATAATCATTATTTTAATAAAATAGGTCATAATTTTAACTCCAAACACAAAAAAAAATGAAGTTTAAACCGATCGTCTACTTGCCATGCTAGACATAGTGAACACCATTATCGACCATCTAGAATTGCCAGATGGTGGTGCTCGATCGTCTGCTGTTCACGTTTTTTGCTGAATACGACAGCTGCAACCTCTCTAATAAATTTTTTGTATATTTTTATTATACTTGTGTGTGTTTGAGCAGTATACTTCAGATTGGATAGTTAATTTTATTTTAAAATTTAACATTAATGTTAATAATAGAGATTAAAAATATGTAAACATGTTTATAGACAAAATTGCTAACAAAAATTTTTGTAAAAAGTTACAAATGTAGAATAAAAAGTATATGTACAAGTAATGACTAAAAAGTCATAAACTAATAAGTATTAAAATGATGATATAACTTTTTCAAAATTCTCAACAATAGTGTATGAATATGTAAATCAAAAATATTTTAAAATTTTATTATTACTTTTGCAAACTAAAAATTCTTATTACTATAAACACATAGAAATTAAAATTGACTGACTAAATTATTTTTCATTATTTATCATATACAGGTAACCCCTGTATAACATGGCACTTCTATAGCATGGATTCATTCTAATATGGTTTGAAAATTGAGAACATCCCCATATAACATGGTGCTTTTATAGCACTCTAATACGGTTCAGGAATTGGGTAAAACCCTTGCACAACATGAAATGTAATAAAGGGTGTGTTCTTTTATACCTCCGCGCAACTTCGCGCAAGCATTCTAATTGTTTTCATGACTACTTTGAATGCTCTTTTAACAAATAATCCATTTAATGGTTAAATTTTACAATTTGGACCCTTGTTTTGCCTCTAAAAGCTTATTTTAGAATTATAGATTCCTCCATCACGATACTATCGATAGTGTGGGCGCTGCCATCTTTCTTCCACTGTCATTCCTAAATGCCTACAAACAGCGGCGCACTCCCATTGCAGAGCGACCGCTATTAACGAACACACCCAAAATCTTACCAGTTGATGATGCTCATGCTGAGATCATCATCTGGGATGAATAATCCTCTGGTAAAATATTTATTTAAATAATAAGTAAATATTTTACTTATCATTAAATAAATAAGTATTTTACCTATGAAAAAAAAATGAATAAATTTGATTTAAATAAGGATTTAACAGCATGTTTTTTAATTTTTGGAACCTAACCCCCCTTTTTGCATTAGTTCTTTGTTGCACGTATAACACGGATTCGCATAACACTGCAATTTTTTGGAACGTAACTCCCGTGTTATACGGGGATTACCTGTATTTAAAATTTAACATTTTTACTATACAATGTTTTGTTTTTAAAATCATTTTTATTATCATTTTTTTAACTAAAAAATATTTCTCTGAATAATTTATTATTATGTAGAAACTAATGAATGTTTTTCCTAATCATAGTAATTAATTATTTTAAGGATGAACATCTTATTTCAAATCAAGTTTCCCAAGCTTCTTCAGCAGCTACTTCAGTTCAGACTACTACAGTTCCAAAAGTTTCTATAGATACTTCTATACAAAATTCTCAAATTCCCATAATTACATCAGTTAATAATGGACATGTACCCCATGTTTCTATGATATCATTTCAAAAAGTACCTGACATATCTCCTCAAGTTCCAATAATTACTTCAGTACAGAGTGAGCAATCTTCTCAACTTCCTATGATTACCTCAGTACAGAGTGGTGATATTGATGATTTGATTAACAGTGACTATAAGATTAAAAAGGTAGATAGTAATTAATGATTCAGGTGTAACTTTGACATTTTTTATTTTTGTTTTTGATATTTTATTTCTGATATTGGTTAAAATGAAATTATAAGAATGGATTAATAAATAACCACCCAGTAAGAACCACGTGAAGCAGAAAATTGCATTTAAATATGCTGTGCACAAAAGGTACATTATATATAAGGTAAATAGCCATAACTTGAATCATACGTTCATGTAATTGTGTTGGAAAATGGAAACATTCAAAGCTGAGCAATATGGCATAATCAGTTTCCTAGTTGCTGAAGCTTATGAGATCACTGCAGTTCATCAGCAAATGCAACATGTGTATTGTTCATGCACTGTAATGCTTATCCAGATTAAGTTGTAGACCACAGGTTCCAACCTTCTTTTGGCCTAATGCCCCTTTTCAGAAAAAAAAAATAAAAATTACTCATTGTTTCAGAAAAAAAACACGCCAACTTCTGTTCTTGAAATCAATAATGTAACCCATAGTTTTCCAACTTTTTTGGGTCATAGCCCACTTTTTCAAACAGTGATTCGATGGCACCCCTCTTAGGTGAAGTATACTATATTATATATTGAAAAGCAAGGAGAGATTTTTAAAATTACTTTATTAAGATATTAACAATATTTATGTATTGATGAAAGTTTGATTAACAAATATATGTTATTAAAAGAATTAATATATTATTATTAATGAGAGGGCTGAGCCTGGTGTAATGATACTAATTTTTCAATATTTAGTGCAATATTTGTCATCAGCAATCTTAAATTGCTGCATTTTGCTATTGACTATCTGTTTCTTTTCTTTGTTAGTAAGTTGCTGACTACGCTAAATCTGCTTTCGGCTAAATATGATGATGGGAATGCAATGAGAAACTTTGGTGCAGCTCATAAAGCCGGATATAATATTGGAATTTGCCCTTGAAGCCAAAATTCTTGATGTCCATTTTTTAATTTCAATTTTAACTCTTCATTTCTTGAAAATTCTATAAACTCCTCCTGCAGTGATAATTCTGCTGTTTGTATGTTTGAGAAAGGTTCTACTACCCAATCTAAAATGATCATGTTAAGGACATCCTGAAATCATTTGTATAGTCTTCTATGCTTCCAAATGCTGGCAAAATACCAGAATATTGTCATCATTTGTTTCCACAGAGGAAAGATTTGGAAAGTGATAAAATTGTCTTTGACCCAAATTTTGTTCGTACAAGGGACGCTTTGACACAAACTCAGAAATAGTTGCCTTTGCTTTGATCAAATTCAAATCATTTCCTTGCAGCTGGAGATTTGTTTCATTAAATTTATTATATAAATCAGTTAAATAAGCTATATCATTCTTAAATTTCAATAAATTCTCTCTTAACAAATAATCTTTGTTTTCAAAAAAACATAATACCAAGTCAAAGAGGTCATAAAATCTTTTCAGACAGGTACACCTTGATAGCCAATGAATCTCTGTGTGCAGTAGTAAACAATTGAAATCTTTGTCATTTAATCATAAAGTTTTCGAAACAATCTATCATTGAGCGCATTGCTTTTGTTCTTGTTAACTGTTGTAATTACATACTGTAGTGAGCAATGAAAGCAATCATTAAGGTTTTTTGCAACCAAATGTTGTCTGTAAATTACATAATGCACAGTGACTACATTTGGTACTGCCTTTTTTCAAATATGAAATTAACTCTCAGTATCATCCAACCATTGCTGGAGCACTATTGGTAACAATGGTAACAATATTATTCAGAGGAATACCTTTTTCTTTAAAACAGTGTTCCAATATGTCAAATATAAATTTTCCTTTAGTATCTATTCCTAATTTTTTTGCAAATAATAGTTCTTGACAAGTTTTTTTTAATATTTATGAAGCAAACATATGCAAGAAGTAAAGACTCAACGTTTGGTAAAGTAGATTCATCAAGCTGTAAAAAAACTCTGTAGTCTTCAAAAAATCAGTTACAGAAATCTCCATATCCTCAGACATTTTGTCAATTCATCTCTGTACTATATTATTGCTTAATGGGATTTTTTTTAATAATATCAGATGGTGGCTTGTGCAGTACAGTATGTAGAACTTCATCCACAGCTGACAGTATCGATTCTTCTCCAATAGTGTGCAGTTTTCCCGATTTAGCAATAAGCAAGGAAATGTTGTAAGAGGCACATAACTCATCATTATCTTGTTTCTATGCTGTTGAAAACATACCAGCTAAAGTTACATCGCGATTATTGTTCTTTGAGCATTTGAAAGTAAGATAAATTATCATCTTTTCTGTCAGGGTGTATTTTGGTCAAATGTTCTAATCGTGAAGGTTTCATGGCTTTATTTGAGAAAACTCTGGCAAATCAGGCACATTGGTAATGTCTTGTTTAAGGATGCATGAATAAAACCATATTTCAAATACTTGAAATTATATTGTCTACATTTTTTCTTTGAATCTGACATGGGTCTATATGTAAAAATAAAAACAATTAAAGAAAATCCTCTGTGACCACCACAGGACCAACCTTCACCATATTAAATAAATTTTAATTTTAAGAAAGTTTTAAATTACATTACTAATGTCAGTCGCTAAAAAGAATAATAAACAAATAATAATAGTAAACATGTACAGTACATACATACCTCTGTGGCACATAGTTATTGCAACAAAAACATATTTTTAATAAGTGGGCCATATAAGTTATCCTTTGAATGTGATCTGTAGAAACTGCACAGAAATTTTAGGTTTACACTTGCTCTGAAGGAACTTTGAAACAATCTCATATGGATAAAAAGCCTCATGTATTTATAGTAATGTTTAATGAACTTGTCAAAACATGCATAGATTTGACATTCTGTACATGTTAGTTTTGTCATGACCTGTGCAAACTTGTAAATATAAGCTTTGTTGATCGAACCAGAACATGCACACTGTAGTACTCCATGTGGTGCGCTGTGCATGCTGCAACTCGTTCATGTACTAGTCAAAAAGGTATTAGGAACAAAGCTATCATGTACCAATACCTACTTTTAATATGGACTGATCTTGCTTAAAAGACATTTAGAGCTATTTGTTGAAACATGTTCGATGATTTTTAATATTAATCAAATTTTTCAGCACATTCTTGTGAGTATTGCCCAGGGGGGTGGTTGGTTCTCAATGCCCTCTAAATTTGCCTTGGACCAAAACAATCCCATAAGATCTCTTCAACACCCACCAGTGGGCGGTACTGACTCCATTGGGAACCACTGTGTAGACGAGAATTTTTAGGACTAACAAACCTGAAGGATAAACAACAATCAGGATATCTGTATCGTGCAGCCACATCATACACCTTCTCTTTTTGACCGTTAGGGCTGCTGCTTGTTGAGTTTATGCAACATGAAAATGCCATTTAATGCAGCATCCTACTGTAATACATTGCCTACGTTACAAATGCAAATTCAACAGGAATCCCAGAAAATTTACAAATTGGATTATCATGTTTTATGATAAAGCATGCCCTCATACAGCCAGAAAGACAAAGGACCTGCTACAGCAGTTTGAATGGGAGGTGCTTGAGCATCCTTTCTATAGTGCTGTCCTGTTTCCCTGTGACTTTCATGTTTTTGAAGAAATAAAAAAAAAACACCTAAAGGTAGGTGAATTTTTCCTTGGATACCAAAGTTCAAGCTATGATTGGTTCCACCAGTGTCCACTATATTCTTTGAATGAGATATAAATAAGTTATGTCAGGTGGAATAACTGTCTGAACAACCAAGGCAATTACTGTTAAAATATTTTTATTCTGTGTTGCTTTTGGCTGGTTATTTATTGATCCACCATTAATACTTTATAATATGAACTAATATTAAACCAACAATACATTTATCCTTCATAATACTTCAAAAATATTCAACTCCTTGAGATATTAAATTTAAAATACAGTCAAACCTCAGTTTTTGAACTTACTTTATTTCTAAAAGTTGTTTGAAGACCAATTTGCTCTCAAACCAAAGCAAATTTTCACATAAGAAACAGTACAATATGGATTAATGTGTTCTTGACACCCAAAACAGTCTTTTTTACCTTTTTAGCTGTATTACATGCATAAAAATATCTACAAATGCAATATAATACATTTATCTATATCTATATTCATTTTATATATATATTAACAGCAAAATGTTCCATCACCACCAAATGAAATCAAAATCATCACTATACAAAAAAGTGCTGTAAAAAATAGACACAACTCTGCATGGATGAAATATAACTCAATCAATCAGGACAAACAAGTACTGTACTTTCTAAAAATTACTCCATANTCATTATTCATATGATTTAAATTTTCCAAACTATATAGTAGTAATTATAAATTAATTTTAAATTATTGTTTTATTTTGTGTGCTAGTATGCAATAATTTTTGGGAAAATGTTTGGTTCGAGTATCTTCAGGACCAAAAATTATTGCACTTGTGCTATTTATTTGATGATCTAATTACATTTTTAAGGTTTGATAGATAATAGATGATAAATAATTCTATGAATTGATAAAAGTGCAACATATATGTATATTTATTTTCATGTAATTTTAATTCTTAAAAGTGAATGCTGAAGAGAATGCATCTGTTATTTTTTCCTCACAAGTATTAATATTTCAAAACAATGAAAACACGCATATGCAATATTCTTATACCCCGTTCGCACCGAGCATTTCGATCTAGATTGTTACTAAGGTCGGAGCCTGTTCCATGGTGCGAAGGCTCTCGACCGTTTCAATCTCGGCTGAAACGAGGTTCAATCGCGATCAACTGGAGAGAGTTCTTGAAACTAGATCCAGTCATAAGAGAGATCCCACAATCCCACGCACGTGAGAAAATACAGGATGGCTGCGGAACATGTGTCGGGCTATCGACAGAGAAATAAAAAAGACATCTGGAGAGATGACGACATCTGCCTATTATTAGATGTATGGCAAGAAAAAGTATTTATTTCTAACCAAAACTTCCATTTTGTTTGTTGGTGTTTGTGACTTACCGCATAGTTACGTCAGTTTTATGATCGCGTGTAATAGCCAGGTTCTTCTCGAGCGGACTGCCTGTGCGAACAGCACGACATTCGACTAGCGACAATCACAATCCAGATTGTAAGTAAATCGAGATCGAAGTGAATCGTGGATTGTGTGCGAACGTAGTATTAGAGTAGAAAAAATGGCAGTCTTGTTTCTTTAAAAAGTAAAATATCATATTTATTCTAATATACAATATAACTTTTTCATCTTGTAGCTTAGAACATGTGCTGTTTATTAGAATAAATACAATATATTCATTTGAGAAAGAAAAGTGAAAATTGCAAAAAAATTTAAGAATATTTTCAACATTGTAGATAAATATTAAATTAATGTTTATACAAATTTCTTAGAGAATAGCTCGGTTCTTACAATTGTTATTTGTTAAATTGTAACAAGTATAATAAACTTAACACAAGAATACTAATTCAGTAAAGAAATCAAATTCAATCTTTTAAAGTAAATAAACTTACTAGCAACTTAGATCAAAAAGTTCAGAAAAAATTCTTTATTTGTTTTAAATGTTTTTCAGAACCATTATGCTTCACATTCAGACCAGTGATATAATTTGCTACTGGGTTATTTGCTTTACAATATTAAATGGACCTGTGTTCTAATGTAATCAGTGAATTAGTATTTTCATGGTTTTGTCATTTAATTTTAATTGAACACGTTAATGAAGTTTAGATAAAACTACTTTTTTAATACATAAATTTCTGTGCAATATGCAGTATACACACACACACATATACACATTTATAAATTAGTAAATTAATATTTGTGTTTTGCATTTTTAAAGCAGTTTAGATAATCTTGTGATCTAGCATCTTGCTGTATGCTAGCTATACCATATAAAAGTTATGTTCAAAAAGTGTACTTAGAATTAAAATTCAACAATTATGCTATTTGTTCAGGATTAAATTTTCTGATCAATTATTTAACATTTTCAATAACAGAAAGCCTTGAAAATATTAAATTGAATTAGAACTTGAATTGAACTTCTTCACTGAATTCTATTTTTGTGTCAAATTCTTTATAACCAAGAAGTCACAAATATGGATTTATTTCAACTTAGGTAATAATTAATATTATTTATATGTTTTAAAAATATAAATATTTTTATACATATAACCATCATTATTAATTAAGATGGGTAAATTAATTTTTATGATAATTTTCATAATGTATTAATTTTCTCATGATTTTCAGATAAAATTTATGTTAGAATCTTGCCAAAGCCTTCTAATGAAACAGGAAATAAAACTGATAATATAAAATTAATTTCTCCTCCTGAAATCATTCATCCTATTCCTGTAAGTCAAATAAAACAAGAAGTAGAAGAAGTGATTCTTCCAAGTAATGTAAGAACATTTTTTAAATTTATTATACTGTTAAAATTATCAATATAATGTGTGAATATATAATAGAGAGGTTGAGGTGCAAGTTCAAACATTACTTCTACATGGCAAGCAGGAGTACACTGTTTACGTTTTAACTCCAAGAAAAAATCGTTGCAGCGCACGTTCACAATATCATGACTCAGTGAACGTTGCACATTGACTCACGGGAAATTTGTTGAAAAATTGGCGGATACATTTAACATTGAGGGTCACCAGCGAAAGTAAATAAACAAATTAAACTATTTTAAAGTATTTATAGGATGTTTAATAACACTAAATAATTATTTTTAATTAGCGTGGTGTCTCCTACTGTGTGATCGGACGATAGGACTACCTCATACTTTTGTCAAGGGAAGTAGTGGCTTATATAAATTTGGAAAATTATTTTTAGAAATTTACAAATGTATTACGCTGTTGATGGTAGAAGATGCCATGGAAGAACAAACCTACCTTAAGATAAGCTGTTATGAAGGCAAATATATGTAAATTCTATAAGCACTTTGCATCACTTGCTAAAAAATTGAATAATTAAAAAATTTTTGGATTAAAATCATCTGTTTCTTTACAATATTATTTGTAAATGCTTAAATAATCATTATTTTAATAAAATAGGTCATAATTTTAACTCCAAACACAAAAAAAAATGAAGTTTAAACCGATCGTCTACTTGCCATGCTAGACATAGTGAACACCATTATCGACCATCTAGAATTGCCAGATGGTGGTGCTCGATCGTCTGCTGTTCACGTTTTTTGCTGAATACGACAGCTGCAACCTCTCTAATAAATTTTTTGTATATTTTTATTATACTTGTGTGTGTTTGAGCAGTATACTTCAGATTGGATAGTTAATTTTATTTTAAAATTTAACATTAATGTTAATAATAGAGATTAAAAATATGTAAACATGTTTATAGACAAAATTGCTAACAAAAATTTTTGTAAAAAGTTACAAATGTAGAATAAAAAGTATATGTACAAGTAATGACTAAAAAGTCATAAACTAATAAGTATTAAAATGATGATATAACTTTTTCAAAATTCTCAACAATAGTGTATGAATATGTAAATCAAAAATATTTTAAAATTTTATTATTACTTTTGCAAACTAAAAATTCTTATTACTATAAACACATAGAAATTAAAATTGACTGACTAAATTATTTTTCATTATTTATCATATACAGGTAACCCCTGTATAACATGGCACTTCTATAGCATGGATTCATTCTAATATGGTTTGAAAATTGAGAACATCCCCATATAACATGGTGCTTTTATAGCACTCTAATACGGTTCAGGAATTGGGTAAAACCCTTGCACAACATGAAATGTAATAAAGGGTGTGTTCTTTTATACCTCCGCGCAACTTCGCGCAAGCATTCTAATTGTTTTCATGACTACTTTGAATGCTCTTTTAACAAATAATCCATTTAATGGTTAAATTTTACAATTTGGACCCTTGTTTTGCCTCTAAAAGCTTATTTTAGAATTATAGATTCCTCCATCACGATACTATCGATAGTGTGGGCGCTGCCATCTTTCTTCCACTGTCATTCCTAAATGCCTACAAACAGCGGCGCACTCCCATTGCAGAGCGACCGCTATTAACGAACACACCCAAAATCTTACCAGTTGATGATGCTCATGCTGAGATCATCATCTGGGATGAATAATCCTCTGGTAAAATATTTATTTAAATAATAAGTAAATATTTTACTTATCATTAAATAAATAAGTATTTTACCTATGAAAAAAAAATGAATAAATTTGATTTAAATAAGGATTTAACAGCATGTTTTTTAATTTTTGGAACCTAACCCCCCTTTTTGCATTAGTTCTTTGTTGCACGTATAACACGGATTCGCATAACACTGCAATTTTTTGGAACGTAACTCCCGTGTTATACGGGGATTACCTGTATTTAAAATTTAACATTTTTACTATACAATGTTTTGTTTTTAAAATCATTTTTATTATCATTTTTTTAACTAAAAAATATTTCTCTGAATAATTTATTATTATGTAGAAACTAATGAATGTTTTTCCTAATCATAGTAATTAATTATTTTAAGGATGAACATCTTATTTCAAATCAAGTTTCCCAAGCTTCTTCAGCAGCTACTTCAGTTCAGACTACTACAGTTCCAAAAGTTTCTATAGATACTTCTATACAAAATTCTCAAATTCCCATAATTACATCAGTTAATAATGGACATGTACCCCATGTTTCTATGATATCATTTCAAAAAGTACCTGACATATCTCCTCAAGTTCCAATAATTACTTCAGTACAGAGTGAGCAATCTTCTCAACTTCCTATGATTACCTCAGTACAGAGTGGTGATATTGATGATTTGATTAACAGTGACTATAAGATTAAAAAGGTAGATAGTAATTAATGATTCAGGTGTAACTTTGACATTTTTTATTTTTGTTTTTGATATTTTATTTCTGATATTGGTTAAAATGAAATTATAAGAATGGATTAATAAATAACCACCCAGTAAGAACCACGTGAAGCAGAAAATTGCATTTAAATATGCTGTGCACAAAAGGTACATTATATATAAGGTAAATAGCCATAACTTGAATCATACGTTCATGTAATTGTGTTGGAAAATGGAAACATTCAAAGCTGAGCAATATGGCATAATCAGTTTCCTAGTTGCTGAAGCTTATGAGATCACTGCAGTTCATCAGCAAATGCAACATGTGTATTGTTCATGCACTGTAATGCTTATCCAGATTAAGTTGTAGACCACAGGTTCCAACCTTCTTTTGGCCTAATGCCCCTTTTCAGAAAAAAAAAATAAAAATTACTCATTGTTTCAGAAAAAAAACACGCCAACTTCTGTTCTTGAAATCAATAATGTAACCCATAGTTTTCCAACTTTTTTGGGTCATAGCCCACTTTTTCAAACAGTGATTCGATGGCACCCCTCTTAGGTGAAGTATACTATATTATATATTGAAAAGCAAGGAGAGATTTTTAAAATTACTTTATTAAGATATTAACAATATTTATGTATTGATGAAAGTTTGATTAACAAATATATGTTATTAAAAGAATTAATATATTATTATTAATGAGAGGGCTGAGCCTGGTGTAATGATACTAATTTTTCAATATTTAGTGCAATATTTGTCATCAGCAATCTTAAATTGCTGCATTTTGCTATTGACTATCTGTTTCTTTTCTTTGTTAGTAAGTTGCTGACTACGCTAAATCTGCTTTCGGCTAAATATGATGATGGGAATGCAATGAGAAACTTTGGTGCAGCTCATAAAGCCGGATATAATATTGGAATTTGCCCTTGAAGCCAAAATTCTTGATGTCCATTTTTTAATTTCAATTTTAACTCTTCATTTCTTGAAAATTCTATAAACTCCTCCTGCAGTGATAATTCTGCTGTTTGTATGTTTGAGAAAGGTTCTACTACCCAGTCTAAAATGATCATGTTAAGGACATCCTGAAATCATTTGTATAGTCTTCTATGCTTCCAAATGCTGGCAAAATACCAGAATATTGTCATCATTTGTTTCCACAGAGGAAAGATTTGGAAAGTGATAAAATTGTCTTTGACCCAAATTTTGTTCGTACAAGGGACGCTTTGACACAAACTCAGAAATAGTTGCCTTTGCTTTGATCAAATTCAAATCATTTCCTTGCAGCTGGAGATTTGTTTCATTAAATTTATTATATAAATCAGTTAAATAAGCTATATCATTCTTAAATTTCAATAAATTCTCTCTTAACAAATAATCTTTGTTTTCAAAAAAACATAATACCAAGTCAAAGAGGTCATAAAATCTTTTCAGACAGGTACACCTTGATAGCCAATGAATCTCTGTGTGCAGTAGTAAACAATTGAAATCTTTGTCATTTAATCATAAAGTTTTCGAAACAATCTATCATTGAGCGCATTGCTTTTGTTCTTGTTAACTGTTGTAATTACATACTGTAGTGAGCAATGAAAGCAATCATTAAGGTTTTTTGCAACCAAATGTTGTCTGTAAATTACATAATGCACAGTGACTACATTTGGTACTGCCTTTTTTCAAATATGAAATTAACTCTCAGTATCATCCAACCATTGCTGGAGCACTATTGGTAACAATGGTAACAATATTATTCAGAGGAATACCTTTTTCTTTAAAACAGTGTTCCAATATGTCAAATATAAATTTTCCTTTAGTATCTATTCCTAATTTTTTTGCAAATAATAGTTCTTGACAAGTTTTTTTTAATATTTATGAAGCAAACATATGCAAGAAGTAAAGACTCAACGTTTGGTAAAGTAGATTCATCAAGCTGTAAAAAAACTCTGTAGTCTTCAAAAAATCAGTTACAGAAATCTCCATATCCTCAGACATTTTGTCAATTCATCTCTGTACTATATTATTGCTTAATGGGATTTTTTTTAATAATATCAGATGGTGGCTTGTGCAGTACAGTATGTAGAACTTCATCCACAGCTGACAGTATCGATTCTTCTCCAATAGTGTGCAGTTTTCCCGATTTAGCAATAAGCAAGGAAATGTTGTAAGAGGCACATAACTCATCATTATCTTGTTTCTATGCTGTTGAAAACATACCAGCTAAAGTTACATCGCGATTATTGTTCTTTGAGCATTTGAAAGTAAGATAAATTATCATCTTTTCTGTCAGGGTGTATTTTGGTCAAATGTTCTAATCGTGAAGGTTTCATGGCTTTATTTGAGAAAACTCTGGCAAATCAGGCACATTGGTAATGTCTTGTTTAAGGATGCATGAATAAAACCATATTTCAAATACTTGAAATTATATTGTCTACATTTTTTCTTTGAATCTGACATGGGTCTATATGTAAAAATAAAAACAATTAAAGAAAATCCTCTGTGACCACCACAGGACCAACCTTCACCATATTAAATAAATTTTAATTTTAAGAAAGTTTTAAATTACATTACTAATGTCAGTCGCTAAAAAGAATAATAAACAAATAATAATAGTAAACATGTACAGTACATACATACCTCTGTGGCACATAGTTATTGCAACAAAAACATATTTTTAATAAGTGGGCCATATAAGTTATCCTTTGAATGTGATCTGTAGAAACTGCACAGAAATTTTAGGTTTACACTTGCTCTGAAGGAACTTTGAAACAATCTCATATGGATAAAAAGCCTCATGTATTTATAGTAATGTTTAATGAACTTGTCAAAACATGCATAGATTTGACATTCTGTACATGTTAGTTTTGTCATGACCTGTGCAAACTTGTAAATATAAGCTTTGTTGATCGAACCAGAACATGCACACTGTAGTACTCCATGTGGTGCGCTGTGCATGCTGCAACTCGTTCATGTACTAGTCAAAAAGGTATTAGGAACAAAGCTATCATGTACCAATACCTACTTTTAATATGGACTGATCTTGCTTAAAAGACATTTAGAGCTATTTGTTGAAACATGTTCGATGATTTTTAATATTAATCAAATTTTTCAGCACATTCTTGTGAGTATTGCCCAGGGGGGTGGTTGGTTCTCAATGCCCTCTAAATTTGCCTTGGACCAAAACAATCCCATAAGATCTCTTCAACACCCACCAGTGGGCGGTACTGACTCCATTGGGAACCACTGTGTAGACGAGAATTTTTAGGACTAACAAACCTGAAGGATAAACAACAATCAGGATATCTGTATCGTGCAGCCACATCATACACCTTCTCTTTTTGACCGTTAGGGCTGCTGCTTGTTGAGTTTATGCAACATGAAAATGCCATTTAATGCAGCATCCTACTGTAATACATTGCCTACGTTACAAATGCAAATTCAACAGGAATCCCAGAAAATTTACAAATTGGATTATCATGTTTTATGATAAAGCATGCCCTCATACAGCCAGAAAGACAAAGGACCTGCTACAGCAGTTTGAATGGGAGGTGCTTGAGCATCCTTTCTATAGTGCTGTCCTGTTTCCCTGTGACTTTCATGTTTTTGAAGAAATAAAAAAAAAACACCTAAAGGTAGGTGAATTTTTCCTTGGATACCAAAGTTCAAGCTATGATTGGTTCCACCAGTGTCCACTATATTCTTTGAATGAGATATAAATAAGTTATGTCAGGTGGAATAACTGTCTGAACAACCAAGGCAATTACTGTTAAAATATTTTTATTCTGTGTTGCTTTTGGCTGGTTATTTATTGATCCACCATTAATACTTTATAATATGAACTAATATTAAACCAACAATACATTTATCCTTCATAATACTTCAAAAATATTCAACTCCTTGAGATATTAAATTTAAAATACAGTCAAACCTCAGTTTTTGAACTTACTTTATTTCTAAAAGTTGTTTGAAGACCAATTTGCTCTCAAACCAAAGCAAATTTTCACATAAGAAACAGTACAATATGGATTAATGTGTTCTTGACACCCAAAACAGTCTTTTTTACCTTTTTAGCTGTATTACATGCATAAAAATATCTACAAATGCAATATAATACATTTATCTATATCTATATTCATTTTATATATATATTAACAGCAAAATGTTCCATCACCACCAAATGAAATCAAAATCATCACTATACAAAAAAGTGCTGTAAAAAATAGACACAACTCTGCATGGATGAAATATAACTCAATCAATCAGGACAAACAAGTACTGTACTTTCTAAAAATTACTCCATACTTTCTAAAATATTATATTTTAATTACTTTGATTTAAATTTTAATTAATTAATTAATTTTGACTTTAGTTTTAATTTCTGTTTCAGTCATGGTGTACAACCAGAGTTTTAATTTTATTTATGTTATTTTTAGTTTTAATACTAGGTAGCCAGTTAATTAAAACTGGCTACCTAGTATTAATAAATATTAAATTAAATGCTAATATTATATTAATAAATTTTTGTTATTTAATTTGAGTTAAGCACCTTTAAACATGGATTCGTGGGTGTCATTTGTATTAAGTGAATGTCAGCTAATGTGGTTTTTATTAATTAATTTGATTTAAATTTAATTGCGACATGTATCAATAAATGGAAGTAGTATCTTATCTGCATATGCATTGAAATTAAATGTTATTGACACAAACCATCATTATAAATGGTTTGTGTCAATAACATCATCACCAATGATGTGAGGCAATCTTGACACCACTAACTTCCAAATTGGTAGTCCTGTTGTTGATTGGTCAGATTGTCAACTTTCTTTAACACAGGTAATATAGGAAGTTGACTGTCTGTCTCCTATTAATCTGTGGCTGGCTCTTGCCGAGTAGCTTGTTCAGCAATCAAGTTATTGTATGGCAACTGGGGCAAATATGGTGTTCAAAATTTTGTTCATAAACTGAATTGTTTGAAGAGAGAGGCATACAAAACCTGAGGTTTGACTGCATCCATTTCTATAAAATATAAGTTAAAGCTTTATTTCTGGATTAAGTGTTGTTTAGAATTTTTCTACTCAATCTGCAGATCCAAGCATACAATTTTGTATTGTAATTTTGTGTCTGCACATAAAGATGGAGTATGGAGTAAAACACACAAAAAATATTTTAATTCACAAATGATTTCCATAAAATACAAATGGATTTTTTTTTCTTACATAATGTTTTGATGGTTTCTTTTTAACATAATCAAGAAAATTCAGCTACTGTATAATATGTATTTTGACGATTTTGTTTTATATATATATATATAAATGTTTAGTAAGACAATTTTTAAATCAGCTAGCTATTGATAGCTGTAGAAATGAATATAATATAATAATGAATATTAAGTATAAAATTAAATCTAGTCTGTAAACTTTTAAATTATTATCTACATTTTATTTATCTTAACTTTTATCAATCAGCAAAAATGTGTTTAATTTTCAAACATCTTCATGTTAACAAAAAATCTTATTAACTGGTGAATTGAATAAATGATAACAATTTGAGGCTCTTCCAGCAGAAATATATATGAAATATTTTCAGCTGTCTAGAATATGCCAGTCACAAAGTTTTGATTAGTTTCTGTTAGGAAATTTCAGAAACAAACAATTTTTATGACAACTCAGAAATTGAGGCAAAGACATATATATTCAATTTGTGAATTCTTTTCATTTTTTTTGTTAATTTTAATGCAATTTATGCAACTTTCAACACAAATTGAGCTAATGACAAACATTTACACCCTGTAATAGCTGCTGATCTGAGTAATTCAATGTTTTTGAATCCTTTTACTCATTAAAACTGTTCACATAATGAATATTGGTCTATAATTTTTCTAGTTTAAATAAAACTTTCAATTTAAAATCAGTAAAATTACTTAATTTTTTATTTTATAATTTTATTTGAAATATATTTTGAATCTAGATTTTTCAAATTAAGACAATAGAAAAATGTTTTTACTACTGCTCTTCAGGATTTTCCTCTGTCAGCTGGTTTTTCTCTACACTTGGAAAAACCTCTCTATTGTTCTCTGTCTTTTGTAATTTTCTTTGTCAATTTTCTTTCTTTTATGCTTTTCCTGACTCCTTTATTCCATGATTTCCTTAGTCTATTTCTCAACTTTGGCCAGTAATTCCTAATCCTTCATCATCCTTCTTGCGTCAAATCTTTACTCTATATTTACTGATGTTTTGTCCATTCTATGTCACTCATTATATCTTGTTTGTCTGAAGAATTTGAATTTGTGTTTCCTCAACTGATTTATTCTTTGCAATATGCTAATCAGTGTTAAAGAGAATAAATCCCATAAGCAGTTGATATAAGAGTGACAATACTATTGTCATTCCATCTAGCTAAAAGAATGCTGCTGTTGTTGCCTTTCTGAAAATTATAGGTGCTTCTTTATGCTTTATTTTATCTGTTGGCTTTAGTGGACACTTTTCTACTTTGACCTAATTGTGCTGACAGGCTACAGTACCAAAACATTGAAGCAAGTAAAGTGAGATAGAAAAAGTTTCTGTAAAACAGTTTGTGAAATAATTTAACAGGAACTTTGCTAAGGAAGTCTTTTACAACAGAACCTCCCAGGTCTGTCAGGGTCATAACTCAAAGATACATCTTGATAGGTTCTAGGACAATAATCCCTTGGATAAACACCCCAGACAAGAAAACATCAGTTTTAAATGTTGGTATATTAAATCAAATATATGCTAATGTCTCCCAAACCAAATTTTTGGAATAAAAATCTTAAATTGGTGACAAAAATGAATTTTTATTAGCACAGAATGAAATTTCTGACAAAATTGAAGTCCATACATAGCCTTTAAATAATTAAAAATTAAAACAACTGAGAATTGTTGACTTACTGCATCACAATCAATCTCTTTTCCATATCTGGAAGGTGATTACACATTACTGTGTTTCAATAAATGTCTTATGATGGTCAAGGTAACCATGATTTAGGAGCTTCTTGGTCCTGCATCTGAAAAGCATTCTTAAAAAACAGAAGATAACTAACAAACTGCACAGGCCAGAGGAAGTAAATTGTTGCTAACCAATGAAAAATTTACTGTCCCATTAGGCACAGCCTGGAGAGAAATCTGGCCACATACAACTGTCAGATCAAATTCCTGGCCCAGCTGGGAAGGAAATCAGGAAATTTTGGATTAGTCCCATATCAAAGAGCCTGACCTAATCCACTTATCACATCCATCCTTTTAACTTTGGACACTTTTAATTAATGAGTAAGTCAAACTTTTACACTCTTTAAGCTGATAAAAACTCATTTTGCTGTGCAACACATTAATAGGGTAAATAATATTATATAATATCCTTACTTAAATTTTGGGAATTTGGAAATAGCCAGTTAGTATAATACTTTATGCACTGTTGATGAATGTTTTAGGACTTTCTCTGTAACCAATAATATCTAAATCAGGAGTTCCCAACTTATGTTCTGGGGAACCTAGGATTCTGCCAATAAAAGTTGGAGTTCTACAATAAAATCCATTGAGTCTAGTGATGTATGAACGTACCAGTTCAGTTTTGGGATGTGAGGTTTAATTGTTCTAGTTCTCAAATCAAGTCTTTTTATGACTTTCTATACACATGCTAGATTTATTTGTAGCTTTATAAACAGTGGGAACCAATTTGTCAGTAACAGAATGAACCAAAATCATGATATAATGGTTTACAAGGTAATTAAAACCATAAAAATGGTAAAACTTAAGCTAGAAAAACATTTTTAACAATAACCCTATAAAGTATCTGTGTAAATAATAATAATAATACAACATTAAATATGATTTTAATTTGTTGATAACTGCAACATAAGCCTTGCAACATTGAACGTAATAATGGGAGTGGTCAGTCAGATGTCTGATGGTACATACTTCAAAAGTAGAGACAGGTAAGGAGGAATCTACATAGGGACCCTGGGCCCACAAAAATTGAATTATCATCATAAATTTTTAATTCTTTTTCATTAACAATGAGCACTTATTGATATAAAGTTTGTCATTCAACACCATTTCATAAATAAATATATTTCAACTCTGATTTTGATGTTACAGTAGAGCCTCGATTATCCGACATCTCGGTTAACCGACCGTCCTAGTTGGCAAATTTCAAATGTCTGCTAGTGATGTGGCGCTACAATATTTGGCTATGTCTTGGCTACTTTAATATTATTTTTACGTGTTTTAGCTGGCAACACTCATTTGACCATGAAAGGGAGCCAGTATTTAAACGAGGCTTAATTTCCTAATTTTTAATGATACAATAGCGACAATTGTTATTTTAAAAAATTTTTGTTAGGCTTAACATCGATGAAAATTCAACGCAAAGTAGGTTAATAGCGATATACTAATTACATGGGATATAATAATATACTACACTAATAATGGATTTTTTCATACTTTTCGGTTATCCGACTTTTCAATTATCTTACCAACCCCCAGTCCCCAATTGAGTCGGATAATCAAGGCTCTACTGTATTAAAAACGAATTTTAAACTTCAATTTAAAGATTATTAATCTAACAAAAATTGGGGCCTCGTGGACTTCAATAAGCCCTAGGCCCCGAAAAACCTAGATCCACCCCTGGAGACAGGACATCCACATCAGAAGAGCATCATGTATTCCTGAGAGATTAATGCCCCATCATCTGTAGTATGTTGGAGCACAAAAATGGGCATATCAATCAAAGATGATTAGAGTTTTGCATTACAATAGTTTTATGTTATTTTAAGTATTTTTTGTATAAAGATATAGTGAGAATCATATAAATTTATACTGCCTTTAGTATTGTGTATAGCCCAAGTTAAAATATGGCGTGTTGACTCGAGAAGGAGTTTTGTAGAAAAATGTAGCAAGTACAAGGTTTCTAGTGACAAGGAGAATGAAAAGGCAAATACTAGCACTATTCAAAATATTGAAAGAAAATAATTTAATCCTGCACATTAATTACCACTTTGAATTAATTAAGCAATAGCTTAATTCAAAGTGGTAATTAATATTTGCTTTCATTATTAATCTTTTTTTTCAGTAAATTGTATTTTGGTATTTCTATTTGCTGTTTTATCTATAATTGTTAAAAAAAATTGTCTGGGGTCCAACATTTTTTTTTACTATGGTGAAAAGAGTTTTGTGATAAAGATGAGTTGAGAAATGCTGATCTGATCTCAATAATAGAGGAGAAGGTGGTATTATGGAACCCCAACTACATTGTAG